ACACACACACACACACACACACACACACACACACACACACACACACAGTTTTCATCTACAGACTTTTCACTTCAAATAACAATTTTTTTTCGCACAGCGCAGCTTCAGCTCCTGACAAATGTCATTAAATACTTTATCAGAAAAATCCCGATAAAACCAACACCAGGTTCCAAGGCGACGGGGTTCTTAGTCGACAGGTGCCGTGAGCTAAACTTCTGTAGAGTAAATACAATGCAAAGGAACAACAACAAAATGTACTGATGCTGCTCGGCTTAGGACTTTGTTCCTTTTCTGTCAAACAAGCCCAAAAGCAGTTAGCAGAAAGGTCAGAGGAGAGGTATTGACAACATATTTCACATTCAATGGAAGCCACCCATATTCAGCTAGTCTTCCACTATGACAAACTACTCACACTGCATATACGGCATGTCTTACGTACAGTGCCAGTTAATGTACTAAACATAAGCTTACATCCAGACTTGAGGCTACGACCGCTCATAACCTCATCAGCGGCGTGTTTGTGTCCAGCGCGGGTGTCGGCTTCACGAGTCCCACGTTTTGATTCCTCACGTCACACACACTGCAGGCAAACTCTGCTGTTAAGTGTACACTGGAACGACTGGGGGGGCGGGTGTATGAGAAGTGGCTAACGCCGAGTTGATTATATCAAGGCAGCTTGCAGACTTGACACCTTGCTGAATTTGTAAGCATTAATCGGTGGGGCCCTGTCACTGATCCGTCAGCTACCTGGATAATTAGGGAGCGTGGCTAACGACGCCGTCGGGAAAGAAGGGAAGCTCAACTTCTCCCCCCACTCACAAGTCATAATTAAGAGACTCCTTTTTGCATTGAGGTAGCGATAGCAGCAGTAAAAGGAGGGGGGGGGGGGGGGATCTCTTTAGGCAGCCGCTGATGTCAGTGGAGAGGCTCATAAGGCGAGGCACTGCTCGGTGTGTACCTCATTGTGGCTTCAATCTGGACAAATGTTGCAGAGCGCTTTAATTAAACCTGCTGAGCTAAGCTATACAGACAGATCATTAAAATGTAGCGCTGAAGTCCGTTTATTGGAGACACTGAATCACACGTATTAAAGAAATTAACAGCATCCACGGCCCCCCCGACTGCAACCGGAATGCTTGATTTATGTTTAGAGCGCTAAACTTTTTTTAATTAGCGGCATCGGTGTGTGTGTGTGTGAGCGGCCCAAACCCAGCCAGTTGCCTAACATTTCTATCAAGAGAGGAGACAAAGGCAAACTAATTACGGTCTTCAGCTGGGAAGGAACACATTTCCACATGGTCATGTTTAACAGTATCACAGCGTGTCACTTTCTCTGCCTTCATGGCCTGCGCTAATTCTGTCAGTGTAGAAACGGCTCTCTCTGCCGTCAGTGGAGATAAGAATCCAGCACAGGATCAAACATTTCTGAACTTAAATACCCAAGAGTGAAAAGAAACCGAGTGTATTTCAGATTCCCTGCTTAATTCAACCTGAGAACAGTGAGTTCTAGTAAGTCTATGCACTCTTATGGAGCGGTGTGCTGATCCATCCCCTTGTGGATTGGTCACCCACAGTTTGCCCCGCCTCTTCCTCTGTGCCAGTAAAACTAAATGTTTGTGCAGGATAGGTAATCAAAAAATTGCATTTTCTTTGGCAGGTAGACCTTTTTAACTCCTCTGGAATAAATTCAACACAAAGTCAAACTGTAATCAGACTGACGCGTTGAATGATTAGTTGACAGATTCATTACTCGGAGTGACGCGTTTGATTTAAGATATTGTAGCAGGCAAACTAAGAGCGAGAGTGCAGCAATGCCATTGATTTCCCAACAACGATCAAAACTGTGACCTCAGTATCAAGGCAAATACAGAATTATGGCTTCTTTGTATACAATATGAAGTAAACTAATTACTGGTTTATCTAGCTGCAAATGCATGTTGCCATATGTAAACATGCTAATGCCACTGGTGCAAGCAGCCTGATATCATGCACATGTTTTCTAAGAACAGCAGTACAAATATGTGCTGATTACAGCAGTTACAACTGTTTTGGATTAATAGATTAGCCTATAAAACATACAATTTAGAAAAACGACTTTTCAAAGTTCCGCATCCCAAGGTAACGTCTTCAAATTGTTTATTTAATAGAAATTTTTAACACTAAAGCTGCATAATCCTCACATCTGATAAGCTAGAACACAATAATGTCTTTGCGGGATATGTTATGTAAACAATACATTTATAACCAAAACTGTTGCAGATACATTTTCTGTGGATTGACTAATAATTTCAGCACTAACTTTGCACAAAGGCATTCCCAGTGCAATAACATTAGTTGTACACCTTGTTGTTGCCTTAACCTGGAATGGTCAACATGAGGTAAACAAAGAAAATTCATCACAGAAAGAGAGAAACAAAACCTCGCTTGAAGACACAGTCCCAACGCTGCTGATGTCTTTTTTTATACTTCACCTCCCACTACATTTGAATTCTCATTATAATTAGCTTACAAGATTTTACTGCATTGTTTACCTCGAGGTCCTGTGAGAAATACCTCGCAACACAACAGCACTTCAGTGAGGAGGAAAAAAAAAAGAAAAAAAAAAAAAAAAAAACAGGAAATGACAACAAATGACTGCAGCAAAAGTCTCTGCTGCTCAAATTGCACTGCACTGAACTCAACTGCCAAAACTAACAGATGCAGTAATGTGGTTCCAAATGAAAGAACACTGATGTATTGTCACTGGTCATAAACTAGATAGGGTACAGCGCCATTACAGGGTCTAAAATCATCACTGTGACTGATGAAACAGAGCCCATTTAAAATGGCATACAAATCTCTCTCTCTCTCTCTCTCTCTCTCTCTCTCTCTCTCTCTCTCTCT